TGTCTGAAATTGGAGGACAACAGAAGCCCAGTTTAGACCTGGCTAAACGATGAAGTAGTTAGTATTGAAAAAACAAAATGGGTAAGCTAACGTAATTCCTGGAAGATACTATAGGAAGTGTCACTGTAAACTTGTATATGTTACCGACTAGTGGTGAAAGTAAGCCTTGAAAACCTGCTAAATAGTTGAAACATTTGTGGGGTACCACAAGGGCCAGTTTTAAATCGCGGTACTTACTTTTCCTTTAATCATTGGTAGGCCTAGTCTATTTTATGGTGTGTGTCTGTGTTGTGTGTGTGTTGTGTGTTTTTTGTGTGTGTGTGTTGTGTGTGTGTGTGTGTGTGTGTGTGTGTGTGGTGTGTGTGTGTGTGTCGTGTGTGTGTGTGTGTGTGTGTGTGTGTGTGTGTGTGGTGTGGTGTGCTGTGTGTGTGTGTGTGGTCTTGTTAAAACCTGTGTAAGGGCGAGAATCACGGGAGGGGGTGTACCTAGTGGTGGACCGTGTGCGTTATGTACCAAGTCACAGATAAGAAACATATAAATGACTGGTCAAGAAGTACATATGGTCATAAGACTAAGTTATAATGTCAAAACCTTCCCACAATTTACTTTACACCACTACTAATTACCAAAACAAATTAATCATTGTCAATTTTGTCCCTGCCAGTTTACTCTGGCACTTGTGGTTTCATTTGTGTTTGCGTTATCCCAAAATTGGTTGCTTCTGAGTACACATTGCGAGTCCTGTAACTGAACAAAATTACAATACTATGTATGCGAGTGTGAGTTGACGTATTGTTTGTATGAAATATATCCGGACTGATAGAAAATGATTTGCAGTGGTATTCCAAAACGAACGATAAAATAAAAAAATTTAGGTATACTTGGTCCGTAAACTTGCTCCTGGTGTCAGAAACCACACCTTACGTTACATCAAAGGGAGTTTTCACATTAACTTACGTTACAAAACAGGCAACGTTGACTTGTTTCCCTCCGAATCCCCAACTGAAGCTAGCGAGAAGTAAACAACGGCAACCATAACATTAGACTTAAGCGGACGTTAGATTATACATGCAAAAAAAAGAAGAATGAAAGATAGACTCCTGTAACTGGTGAATTCGCCGATTTTCAAGTGATAGTTCCTGTAGAAGTAGTTCTGTAAACCGATGAATTTTTTGTGCGTGACTGGAAGGTTTACGATGAAGTACAGTGGCAGTAGGAGAAATAAGTCAAAAGGAGTGTCGAGCGATAGTCACGGTAATGGAGACATAGTAAAAGGTGCGTTACTCTTGCTAAACGGGTGTGTAAAGTACTGGAGTACGGTCTAATTGTAATGTCGAGACATACAAAGACACACGACCTCGACTTACCGACTGATCGACTTGGTCATACTGACCCCGCGAGACACATATCCCACCCAATCCCACCACCCCCCCCCCCCCCAACTCCAAAGTTGGGGTTGGTGTCTCCCCTTAGCTCAGAAACCCACCGTCCGGCCCCTGCTGTAGTGGCGCCGGATTAACCACAACCAGTCATAAAATTTGTGTTAATACTGTCAAGAGAAGAGGGGGAGAGGGGGCGCCCCTGGATTCAGGGGATCCACTTATTGAATAACAAACCCCCTGGTATTACATGTGTTTTATGTAATTGGTCTACATTTACGGACCTGTTATCCGGTCTTGAACTAAGAAACGTTAGGGATGCGGGTAACATAACAATTACACCCGACCTTACATTGTCTATGATAATTGTACATAGGGGGGGAAAAGGAGTAACTTTATGTTAGGATTTAGAAGACTTATTTGTCGGAGTTGAAGTCCTCCACACAAGAAGGATTTCGGGTCTAACTCAAAGTGTAACAATCCAGGACCAATCGCCCTTATTGTGTTTCATTTTTTAACTACTTGTACAACAATAACCTCGCTCTATTGCTGGGATTGTGACTGGAGTAATTATTCTTTGTCTGAGTGTCCAGTGTCCTACAATTCATTTTACTCTGACTTACATATAGCATTTTGTAAATTGCTATGAGTTTTCAAAAGTAAACATACAATTGTACCAACGTGTAAATTGAACTTTTAGACAAATACGACAGTACTTGTATACGAATAGCATCGAACATGTTACGTCGTAAGGTAATAATACTGTCTCGATTAACTTATGCCTATTACCTTATCATGCTTAAACAACCTTCCTTTATCAATTAAAAAGGTATAAAACTTATGTTAAGTACTTAAGTGAGACAGAGACTTACATTTGTACACTGGTTCAACGTCCAGTACGTAAATTTAACACGTGTGTTTCTTCGTATTATTTAGGTACGAAAAAGGATTAATACCTTTTTTGACATATAAATGTTAATGTTAATCATCAAACACTTGGTCATTCGTTTGTTTTTCTCTTTCTAAGCGTAAGTATGTTCTTTGTATTAAAGGTTGTGTTTTCACCTTACTTCTCCTTTCGGGAATTTTTCATTCGAGTTTATTGATTCTTACAAAAAAATTTCGTGTGACACTATGAGGGGGATCAAAGAGGAAAATTTTTGTTTACTCAGTTTGATGTAAATCTTGTGGGAATTAGGGTGAGCGATGCGTCGCTTTACATTGTTTATTGAGTGTTAAGAACAAATTCCCTCTGTGTGTTTATAATAAGAAACTAGGGTATTAGTCTTAGAGCGTGTTAGGAAATAAGCAGGGTGTCACACATTTGTAAGGGGCGCAATATTGTTGCACATGCAGCGTCTATTTTCCGTTTCGTTTTTCTCATCTGATGTACTATTCTTTCCCCGTTCGGTGTGCTAATATATTTATTTTTAAATGTACTGTTAAAAATCTGCGAAAATTAGGTTTCGTTGGAATTGTGTAGGTTATGACACCTGTTGGGGAGTAGTGTCCTCGTTAAACCCCACTCTCACAGAGTCCCTGTGTTTGTCTCTGTACGACTGACGTCACCCTGAGTTTGGACGATTAGCGGGACTAAACCCTCCTCCAGGCTCGTGTGATAAGT